GGGGGGGGGGGGGGGGCAGGAGGAAGTGCTCCAGACACGTGGCCTCCTCTTCGGGTGCTGTGCAGCTAGGAGAGGTGCGGGGGCACCACACATGGCGGGTGTGATGGGTGGGCAGCGGGGGCAGCGAGCAGCCCAGGCTGGACAGGAGCCAGTTAGGAAGGAGCCTGCTGCTCGGTGTAGGCCCCCACATAAGCAGAACCAGACTCCGCCTCTGGGATGGGTGGGTGACTAGACCTGCACCCGGCTTGGGGGCTGCACTGGCAGGAGGAGCAGCCCAAAGGCTTCAGATTGTCCTGCAGAGGCAGACCACGAGGGTCTAGGTGTGCGTTGGGCTTCCCTCCACATGCTTCTTGGAGATTCTGCCAACTGGAGGCCCAGACCACCTCTGAATCTCACCCACATGGCAGCCGCTGGCTCCTCGGTGACGCCTGCTTGGACTCACAAGGCAGGGGTCCTTTAGCAGCGTAAACCAGGTCATATTTCTCCCCCTAATTCCTCCAGGGTCTTCCTGTTGCTCTTGCCACAGCTTGAGTGCCTCATCGGCCAGCCTTTCCAGCTGAGCCTTTGTCACCTGCACTGTCCCCTCCCTCTCTGTCCAGCAACCACCACTGTGTTCTTGTGGTTATACACCTAGCTAGTTCCTCCTCCCAGGACCTTGTGTGTGAACCCTGCTCCCTTCCCGTCTGAGGTCTGGCAGGGCCAGTTGTGCACAGTGGTAGGCTGTGAGCCCCACCTGGGTGGGCTGGTGTCTGCACGGTGTGCTGGAGGGGCCTGGCGATTAGGGGTAGAGGGCCCCTGCTCACTGCCCAACCCCAGCCAGGACCTGGGGGAGGTGTTATCCCTGAGGCCAGGCTGGGAACCATACTACTCACCCCATCCCAGGAATCCCTTCACCCCATCCCAGGTTTTACCTGAAGGACATCGTCCCCAGCCTTATAAAGCCTGTTTTTGCGAGAGGTGAATTGAAGCTGCTTTGAAAGAAGAAAAATAGGAAGAAGACCCTGGTGGTCATTAGCACCCAGTGATTGTCAGACTTTGCTTCACCGAGCAGCAACCTTCTGTCCTTCCCATGGGGAGATGTAGCCCTTGCCCCTGCTGAGCCCACACACACAGCGTAGCTGCCCGAAAGTAGCATTCATCCACTTACAGCTTCCCTTCTTTACCAGTAGAGTGATGCTCTGTACAAGCCCTTC